CACCAGAGGTCTTGGAATGTATCCCCTGCAGATGGGGCGGGGGGAGTGGGGGCATTGGGACACTATCATCCAATATGCAGATCATACTCAAATTTCCCCAAGGGTACAATGTCCTTTATAACTGATTTTTCCAAAGAACTTATATATGTATATGCATAGCCCATGGACATGGGCAATAGGTTAGTGAAGACCTGTGTGTGTGTGTGTGTGGGGGGGGGGTGTGTGTAGGGGCTGGAAAGAAGGGGGGAAAAGGGGAGGAATGGGAGATATCTGTAATATTATCAACAATAAAAAATATATTTACAACATAATAACTGATTTCCCCTCCAACTTGGATCCAATCCAGGATCACACTTTGCATTTTTCATATCTCGTTTAATCTGACACAGTTCCGCAATCTTTTCTTTTCCTTTCTTTCTTTCTTTTTTATGACATTCAAAGAAGTTTTAAAAACAACACAAATTTGTTTTGTGTGTGTGTGTGTTAATCCTCACCCGAGGATATTTTTCCATTGATTTTTAGAGAGAGTAGAAGAGAGAGGGAAAGACAGAGAGGAACATTGATGTGAGAGAAACACATTGATTGGTTGCCTCCGGCATGAGCCCTGACCAGGGCCCGGGACAGGGAGAAGCCTGCTTGTGCCCTTGACCAGAATCAAACCCGGGACTCTTTGGTCTGAAGGCCGACACTCTATCCACTGAGCCAAATTGGCTAGGGCAAAACAACACAAGTTTGTAATCTCACAATATGGCGGTCAGAAGTCTGAAATGGGTTTCACTGGGCTAACATCAAGTTGTGGCAGGACTGCATTCCTTATTTTCTTGCCTTTTGCAGCTCCCAGGACCCTCTTGTATTCCCTGGTTTGTGGCTCCTTCCTCCGTCTTCAAAGCCGGCAGCATATACCTTCAATCTGTCTGCCTCAGTTTCCATCATCGCATCCCCTTCTCTGACACACACTCCCTCCTTCTTCTAGGGACCGTTGTGATGGTAATTGGCCCACCCACATGATCCAGAATGTTCTCCCATGAGATGAACATTTATAAAGTGTCCAGGCCAGTCATTCTGCAGGATGACTCTCACTTTGGTTTGTCTGTCCATTCCCTCAAGATGAGGTTCAGAGTGAACATTTTTGGCAGGAATACGACAGAAGAGATGTAGTATTCCTACATCCGCAGTGTCCTCAGAGCATTGCATTAGGAGACACGTGGTGCTAGTCTGTCCTGTTAATGTAATGAACTTTGATTCCATGATTAAGGCGGTGTTGCCAGATCAGCTAGCTTCCGATAAACTAAGAAACCTGAGAACCACTGGCCCGGCTTTCCAAGCAGCCAGAGGGGCTGTAGCACACCTAGCCTGGCTTCCTCTTTTCTCACCCGCTTTGGGAACACCAGGGGGTCTTGATGGAAGGGAGCGGCCAGGCTCCGCAGGGCTGTCACTTATTCCCAGTTCTCTGGAGGCTCCTGGAGACAGCTCTGCGGCTGCTTTCCGTGGGTGCTGGAGTCCAGGACGTTGTTGAGCCCGCCTTGTGACTATGCAGGTGTCCCTGTACGTGTGCAGGAAAGGAGGTACACGCGCACACGTGGGTCTTCTGGCCTGCGTCAGCCCGTCCGCATGCACGTTGTCATGGCGAGCCTTCCTGTTTCCCCCAAAGCCTTCCACCGTGGAGGCTCTGGGTGGGTGAAGTTGTGCATGTGTGTGTCAAGCGTTTCTGAGCAGAGCCGGTCATGGTTCTCAAGTGCTCCCCCTGCCTGGGCGGCTTGGTATGGCCTGTGGCCCCTGCGAGGTGGTTGCACCCATACTTCCCGGAAATGTTTGCCTCCCGCACGCCGGTCCGCTGCGCTGTCGGACATGGACCCGCCAGGCAGTGCGA